AAACTAGATACAGTTAAACCACTAAACTTTTCATAGTTTAGAATTAGGTATTTTAATTTTCACTATTATATTTTCTAGGTATGTTTACATTTATTGTATATCATTATTTTATATATATCTTTACAAATATAATAATTATTAACAATTTTATAAGAAAAAAAATTTTAAAGGTTGTAAACGTCTAGAATTTATGTATATATAAATGTAAGACCAAATTCTGTTTCAAATACTAAATTAATAACATATAATAATATTTCAGTAATGTGGTATAGTCATTGTATTTTAAATACTAAATCGACCAGGTGGTCTTATGAGTGTGAGATAACTAATCAAAACGTCAACTCGAGGCAGCAAAATACTATAAAAAGGACTCGAGTCGTTCTCGTTAGCAAACCGAGAAAATGTTATGGTTATAATGAGCTCAGAAATTTGAATGTTCCAATTATGGAGCTAGGCCCTTAGTAAACGAACTAGTGAAAAAGCCGCGCCTGATTTGCTTTTTAAGTATAAGATTCAAGGCTTGTGAGAAGCATTGGCTTGGAATAGTAATGAGAATGTATATAGAGGTACTATAATATCTACTCAGTAATATAAATCTAATATAATATATCAAAATACAAATGAACGGATTTATCACAGACATTTTACACAAGTATTGTTTTCTAAATAAATTCTGTTAAGAACAAAAATACTCTCGAATGGGAAATAAATTTCTTAGAAATAAGAATATATTACTAATACTTACGGTATTTGTATGTACAAGTTTCACGACGTATGCTCGAACACTAATACCCGGTGATATAGCGCAAAAGCATTATATTCCATGAGAATCTTTCTTGAGAAGGTTGAGTAACACAATATTTTCCTTTATAAATGGAAAATAAAATCAGAATTTTTGAAATAAAGAGGATATCTCAGCGTCGCATACCGAGTTAAGTTCCTTGAAGGTAAACAATTTGTGTTAAAATATTTTTAAGTTTGATAACGCTCGGAATATTTTGGTATTATTCTTTAAACGTAGTTACCTTTTTTTATACTACTTAGAATGGCAAACAAGCTGACGGTCCACCTGATGGAAAGTGATAACCATCGCCTATAGACATGAGCAGTACCATGGACATAACAGAGTGTACTGTTTTGCCCATGATACCCCCCATGCGTTGCCATTCCTGAGGATTCAGGTGTTATTCCTTTGTACCCAGTAAATTCACGCCATATCCCACCCTTCAAACCGAAACACAGCCATGCAAACACAACTGCTTCACGGTAAAAACATGAATAGGACAGAGGTACCCAAGCAATCGACTTTTGTACAAAGTCTCCCTCTGGTGAACCTAACTACCTACAAAAGAAGTGGATAGATGAAACATTTGTTAATTTTTCTGTCGTTTTAGTATCCTTTGGGCGATTGGGTCTAATAGGCACGATAAAATATGGACACGTCGAGTGAGTCGTCGTCTCATTCATCAGAATGAGAACAAACGACAAATGCTCATAACAAGGAGAGGATTATTAATAATGGGAAACATCTATTGGCTCTATTACTAATTAATATACATTGACAGGTCAATCTCTATGCGGTCCCCTTTGGAAACTGTCGTAGTTAATTCTCGATGAATTCATCATGATAGATCAAAGGATTTGATCTTATTCTTTCTTATCATTCGTCACTGGTAACCCGTTAGCGTATACTGATAGCGCGGTCTATTCTATTTTTTTTACGTTTTTTTTTTACTATTGCAGGATATATTTACGACAGTCTATTTCTTTTTGCAAATCAATTTCATTATTTTATCATTTCTTTTTTTATCTCAGGATTTTAAATCAACGTTTAAAATTTCCTACTAATGCAATGTCTGCTGTGAGGCCACAGTAACAACGCTTATTTATTTTAGAACCGCATTTCAAATAATTTACATACACCTCGGTTTACCGAAGCACGTTTTGCATGTTATTTGAATTTAAGTAAACTATTGACACGCCAGTATTATTAGTTTGTATACAGTATAACTACTTTTACGTTATGTATTGAAAAGTCTACTGGTTTCATTGATTTGGAATATACACTCGTACTTCGTTATGGAATATTGCTTAATTATATTGAATTAATTAATTAACCTATTACTGCGTTCAAAAACCGATTCTTAAATTACTTTTATATGTAAAACGTTTATGTGTTATTGACGATATTGGATTCATAAAAATTAACACCTAATTTAGTAATATATGTTTATATACAATTATATATGTTATGTGAATGGTAATAAATTATGATATTTTATTTTTCTTTTAAATAAAGAACAGCATACAAAATTTTGTTTTTTTTTTTTTGTATTATTTTCCATCAGCTTCACCACTTTGTTTTAAATCTATATACTCGTATAATGAATAAAATATTAATAAATTAACGATCAGAAATAAATTTATAATTGTACGTTAACTTCCCATATTATTAAGAGGGAAAGAAACAAAATTTTTATTTTTATTTTAATTTAGCCGTTATTTATAAGTGCATTTGATTTCGACTGTGTAAATCAGTATATCCTTTCTATGTTCTAAGTCAGAATATAATCTATTCGTGTACTAAATTTCATTTAAACTTTTTTTAATAGTTTTTACGTGAAAAAGTAACAAACTTTAACGTTCATTTATATTCGTAAGAATAGTACTATAAGTTTTTTTTTTCTATTTTTTATAGTGATTTCAAGTTAATTTATTTATTTTTTATTGCATTCCATAATGTGATTAGTATTTAATAATTAGAGTTAATATAACAAGTATAAAATATTCAGAAGTATTAAAAATTGTCGCAACAGCTGTACCTATGCGTATATGTTGTAACTATTGACCACAATCAGCTCAAAGACGCTACTTATGGTAAACGGTCATAAGTTCAACCTACTTATTAACCAACTTTAAAAAAGAGTTGGTTCTCAATTCGACATTTTATTTCGTTTTTGTTTTGTATATGCGATATTGCACAATATCTTTGTCAATGATAGACCAATGTTCAAGATCCAGTTTTTTATTCTAATAGAAAGACTGGTTTTTTGCAACTTTGTTTTTTTTTTAGATTTAGATATTGTGTAATTTAGACCTTTCGAGACATTTTGTTTTTTTATATTTTTTAAGCTTGGACGTTATAATACAAAACAATATAACATTTTTAAAGAATTTCTATTATAGTAATCTATATAGATATAATAAAATTGCAACATAAGAGTTATTGTAGGAAAAAAATTGACATTTTTATCTGTCTGTCCGTCTGTATATTTATAAAATCCAGTATACAAGTATGTTTTATTTCGATACGCTATCTAGAAATGGTCTATTTACTTTTCCTATATCCAAAAACCACGAGTGCAAAGTTGCGTGGAAAAACTAATGAATAATATAAATGTTGTGGTAAAGCTATACTGGGATATAGCTCCCCATTCTCGTGTGTTAATTAAATATGAGAATGTTTCAAGTTCAGTGCGTGTATGATAACAGCTATCAACTTTCATAGTCCAATTATGAAAGAAAGAAGGTAGAGCGATTATAAAATAATAGGCTACACAAAAGAGACTTTAACGTCATAAAAATATAGTGAAATTCTAGACATTAATATAGTACTAAATGCTGCAGATTCAGACTAATTGTCTTGTTCTTAATCACGTACATATCAGCTGTTAACTATCCAGTGCTGAATATGAAATGAAATGAGATTTATTCGTAAAACATAATTGTAATTTCTTAACTAATATTAATATTATAGTTTTAAACGGGTATAGTAGTTGTGGTTTTAGAACTGGACTCCTAAATAGGTTAATATAATGACCTGTGTTAAGGGGCCACAGTATAAGCCTTTGGTAATATTTTAAAAAATCCCTCAACTACTAGGTTCTTTTAGTTGCCTCTTACGACTTTCATGGAAAGAAAGGGGTGACCTATTCAAGTCGGAAACCACAGAATCGCATCTTTGTAATAAAATTGTAACTAAATGATGTCTGTACATGGAACATATATTCTTATATAAATCAATATGTATATTTAATTTTATAGAACCAACAGAACTCCAATATTAGTTCTGGTATCACGCAAAAACTACTGCACTGATTTGAATGCGATTTTCACAGCTGTGTTTCAATTTTAAATCTGTTGTGTATATATTGTTACGCTATTTGGAAGTTGGAAGTGATCTATTTAATTACTTTTTATTCTTCTGAAATTTACGCGTACCAAGTAGTAGGAGAAAAGCTAGTCTAGAATAATAACGGTTGACTGTTAAATAACGTCATGTGGTGTTAAGTCTGCCTTTTTGGTACACCTTGACAGAGTGTCTAGATGTACTAACATTCAATAAAAAAATAATCTGTATTATGAGAAACTAGATGATGAACCTTTAGGAATACAAACCTTAAATATCCAAATCTGAGACAATTTCTAAAAGATTGTTTCTTAAATTGACCTGATGGACATTCGAATTTAGAACTTTCTTTATATATTCTTTATTGCACAAAAACATACAGTAACAACAATAAGTTAATAACAATGTTAGCAAAGGCGAACTTATCTCTAAAAGAGATTTCTTCCAGTCAACCTAACGCAGTGGCATAGGAAGTAGTGAGTGGGCAGTAGTAGTGCAAGACAGAAATTTAAATAAATATTTACATAAATTATAAATAATTATATATATACACACATGCATTCACATATATACATACATACACATACACATATATATACATATACACATACACATACATATACACACATACATACACACGTTAAATACAACATATAAATATCAAATACAAGAGAACACAATGATGACAGTCTTCTAATCATTTTTATATTTAAATTAAATTAATTTAATTAATTCTTTTAGATCAACAAGCCCATCACTGTATCACGGATCTCATTAAATAGAAAATATGCGCTGCCACCAAAAATGATTAAATTTTTTAACTATTATATTGTAACTATATCAAATTGAATTAAAATTCTTTTTTCCACAGTTCACAATAGTCCAAAAGAGATAGCAGCTTGGATATCCAACACCAACGAAGCAAGTTACTTCAGTTTAGCTGTTCATGGGCAGACTTTCTTCAGACTCAACTATCCATTGAAACTAAACACGTGAGTACCGGTGATTTCATTAAAATGACACTAAGGCCGATTTTGAAAATATCTCTTTAATATTTTAATTTGATAATTTCGAAAACGTACTGCTCATAAGGCCATCATAAACTAAAATCACAATAATGATGACTTAATCTATTAAAAAATTAGTTTATATTAGTTCTTATAATAAAGATTTCGCTGTGATATCAAATTGTAATTTTAATTATTAGAGATAAATTTAGAGAAACGGCTGTCATCTCTCAGAATCGACCTTATTGGTTTCATTATAATTTGGCGCCATACTTTTAAGACTATCTCTGTTCCACTTGTGTCTCTGGTCGTATTGTACGTACAGTACAATCTCTATTAATATTATTAGTTAAATATTTATTAGATATCTTAAATTAAATATATTTGTTAAAAAATATATTTTAAATTATTTTCTGGCTTATAGTTTATATTATTTTATGAATGTTGCAATATTAATTGTTAAGAATTCTAAAACGAGGGCTACCATAGGTGTTATACATAATATTCTGTAATGTTGATATTGCATGTATATTCGTTTATTTTTATTATTAATTATTTAATTACTTTTAAATTCTCATGTCAGTTTGTTAAATTGAATAATATACAGTTTATAAGTATCAAAAGTCTATTACAATCGATTTTTTTTATCAGTTTATTATAAATTCCTTAAACTTTATAATATTTCCTCATTAGAAACAAAGAGCAAAGGTGAACTAATTTATCATTTTAAATGGTATAAAATATAAGTGGTGTAAAACTTAGTAATAAACCAATAAGTATTACAATAATACACGTATATTTTATTTGTCGTACAACAGATAAAAGAGCAAGTTGTTTGATAAAAAACGATTGTACTATTCATAGTACGAAACAATGTCAAAGACAGTTCCATTCACGATTGTTTTGAGTGGTTTCAGAACAGTCTATTTTCTCGTTACAAGAACAATGGATGTAATTTATAGATGTTATGTTTGTCACCACATACATCGAACGCTCTAGTTGGCACTAACTAGTGTCGTCCCAAAGGTACTATTATGCAATCTGAGAAAGTTTAATATTATGTACAAACTTCACTGTCCGATAAATCGTATAAAGCACTTTAAATATATTATGTAAGGGAATATATTTACCATCTACCGGTTATGAAGTAAAATTGAAGCCTCTTACATACCACTTTGAGGCGTCGCTGTTTGTTAAATTTTGTTATGCTCGTATAATTTACGTGTTTAGCTGTTAAAGGACTTCTTTTCGCTCAATATAACGTCTATTGTGTGTCGACGATTGAATGAAAAATACGGCTTCTGTCACTTAAATATGAAATGTTGAATGTAGGTATTGTATACAATATACGTGTGCAATTTGTGAGGAAAAATATTTGATTCAAAATAGGAACACGAATAATTCTATCGCTGGTAGTTTCGAAAAAGTGTTTATTGTATTTATATTTCATATTAGGTGATATTTTAGTTTTAGATAGTGAACTTGTGTATTGTGCAAGAAAGAATATACGTTATTCGTGTCTAATTTTTTCGCGGCACTCACCCCTCATCGCCTTCCAGTAAGTCTCATGAAAATTGGTTTTAAGTTTCAGACGGACAGAAGATCTTAGTCACTTCGCTACGACACTTAAACCATATTTGCATATTAAAAATGTAACAGTGCTAAGAATAGCTTAGAAATAATATTGTAAGATAAAGTACTGTGTAAATATTTCCTCAATATTGTTTTTACATATATTTGATGTGTTTACGTATATGCATGGTAACCTAAGTACTGTTATACTATTCTTTTTTTTTTATTTAAATCAATACTCCAAAATATTTACCTAGTAAATAATCTATTTTCTAATTAGAAACGATTGAACAAACTCGTTGACGTTTTAGATCATATAGGTTTATGAATGATTTACTTAGATACTACTAATTACTAACTTATTAGTAATAAGTTAGTAATGCACATTACTAACTTATTATTAATTGGACTTGAATGTTCAATAAGTTTACCTTTGTACGTTCAGTAATTCTGGTACCGACTTTGATGTATGGTTGTGAGAAATGAGAATAGTAAAAGAAGCATGGAAGTTGTAATTGTAGCGAAATCCGTTCTTACCGCAGTGTCTGTAAGATAAAACTGGACGATAAGATCAGAAGTAACACCGTTACAAAAGTTTTACGTTGGCGCGCCGTAAAAACTAAACCATATTATCGCGAGTGAAGGTGAAACACGTAGTAATTTGTTATTATAAAAAAAATCGCAAATCCGATGTAGACATAAAAAAGTAGCGATAATTACGCTGTATTTTGCCTCTAATAAAGAAATGTAATTACGCATTAATTAATTAATTAAAAACGAATAATAAAGGAATCCCTTAAAATAGTTTTTAAGGGATTCCTTTATTATTCGTTTCTACTAGTGTAGGTATTGATTATACAATATTTTCTTAAAAAATACTGTCGATATTTTCTAGAAGGAATGGCAGTAATATTTGTAAACGTGTTAAATCGTATTCCACACAGCACACTTCAACTAACTCTAACTATGCATTATGAGTACTCACAATAAAGAAATTTGTATTTCACTTTACATTGCAGAGGTAAAAGGATTTTTCACAATTGTATTTTGCAAGACCAAAAATTGATTGAAGAATATAATTTAAGAATATATTTAGGAATTTAACTATATAATATTAATATATTTAGAATATAAAAAATAAGATTAATTTTACTCAGATTTACGTCTGTTCCTATTAATATTACACTGAAATATTTATTAAATATCTTATATTAAATATTTTTGTAAAAAAAAATATATATTTGAGTCTAAATATTGAGCTTTGAGAATTTGAGTTGATTTTACATAGAATTTGAGAATATATTTAGGAATTTAACTATATAATATTAATATATTTAGAATATCCTTTATAAGATTAATTTTAGCTAGATTTATATCTGTTTCTATTAATATTACACTGAGATATCTATTAAATATCTTATATTAAATATTTTGCAAAAAATATATATTTCAGTCTAAATATTGAACTTAATTCGACGATTACTCTGCAATTTTACACTATTTATTAGCTTGAGAGTTTATGTTGTAATATATTACGTAGTTTCTTCAACTCTACAATATACATTGCAACATAAACATTTATATCTTGAAATCTACCTTAAAGATGATATCAGAACGTGGAAATACATTCGTAGAATGTATCTTGAAAATATAGATACGATATGTAGGTACCATACCAAACTACGTCAATTTTCAACATGAATAAACTAACGACAAAACATTTAATATTTTAAAGATACAACGCAACACAATATAAAGGGAATTTTCTTACAACTGTAAGACGCTTGAAGTCCACTAGTACAAAGGAGGAAAGCTTTATAAATAAATAAACACCTACAAGCACGATACGTGATATTTGCATTAATCTTTTGAGGCGAGCAAAGGTCTTTGATGCTCGAGTGCCGTGAGGATTGAATGTAACCGTTTTATTTGGATAATCTCCTATGATAACATATTAATGTAATAAATTAGTAACTGTATAAACTGTATGGTTGAGCGCAAAGATGGTCGGTTCATTCGTCATACTCGTGAACGGGTGCTGCTTGTGGAGGCTGGCGTGCCAATGATTGAGAGCTTAGTCACAATTATAATTACAGTACTCATACAAAGTAAAATTATCCTATACATAAACGAATTGAAATAGGTAACTATTTTATCCGTTTATTCGTATAAAGATCGTTTTTATTCTATTCTAACACACGTTTTAAATGCATACCAATCTTATAGGAACATAATATATATTTATACGACCCACCCTGGCTTCGATTTGGTGCAATGCTGATACTAAATATACCTATTACAGAATGTCCTTATAAACAACATTTACAGCTTTTTTGTCATTAAACAATACAAACATGATAAAGTGCTATAGGGCGAAGTGCGGCCTTCGACGCGCTATTATATAGGCACGCGCCGCCGGCCGGGCCGGTACCGCTATGTCCCTGTTTTTTAAATCTGTAATATCTTCGAAAATATTCATTTAAATTATCTACTGTAATTATGAACTGTATTGATCTATATTAAACGCGCAATGTATTTAAAGTACTTAATTGGATAAAAACTAATGCTGTATTGCTTAAAATCGCTTCGTAAATAAGCCATTTTTTTCCCGTAAAATATAAAGGATAAAAAATGATTATTGTGGGTTATCCTTAAAAGATAGGTATATGCCATCGCGGATTTTTTTGTTTATCTTTTGAAGGTGTACAATACTGTAGTACATTATTTTGATTTATCTCGTGGGATTCAGCCAGCATTTGCAATGTAAGCGCATAAAAATGTGTTTATTTACGACATCACATTAGAAACCTCTAAATTTATCAGTGTTTCCCTACAATATTATGCATGTATTATACATATAAACCTTCCTCTAGAATCACTCTATCTATTAAAAAAACCGCTTAAAAATCCATCGCGTAGTTTTAAAGATTTAAGCATACATAGGGACGGACAGACAGCGACAGCGACTTTGTTTTATACTACGTAGTGATGATGATATCAAGCTTCTGACATAGTTGTAGTATCCTAATAAAAATATGACGTAATATTTCAATTCCCATCATATCGTATAAGGAAACTAATGGAATAAAACGCCTGATACCAGTACAAGAGAAGAAAATTCGATATAAACCACTATATTTATACTACGTTTTATCCCACTCAAGCAATATATTCCAGTCACGCGGATTAATTTGCGGGTCAAAAATAGTGCGGTTAATTGAAGTGTGTTGTAACTTGTAAAGATAAACAGAACAGTAAATAATTACATGTCCTTCGCCTATTTATTTTATTATTATTTATCGTAACTAATTAACTTGAAAATTGACTGAGAGTCATATCCGCTTCATATATATTATATTCTTATTATAATGACCAGGTTATGTTGTAACATAACATCTATAATTCTATTTATT